TTTTCACAAGTCCTTAAAAATATAAGAGCATTCCTATCTTAGTGCACACACAAAAAGAAGCTATGGATTGGGTTTGGCCATTAAAAAAAAAATTGTTCACCAACATCCTTGATTTAGAATCTAAATCAAGAGATGATTGTGATTTATTATTAATTTTCTTAATCTTTGATAATTTTTTATATGAACAATTTAGTTATAACTACATTGAGCCTTTTCAGTCAATATTTTCTAACCTGGTATTCCCACAGTATCTCTAGCTTAAAATAAAATTCTAAAGAAAGCAGTAACTTACTAGCATTCTTTCCAGTGTCACTTCTTTCTTGAGCTGGTCAACTTCCATCTTTAATTTGTCCTTCTCTGTCAGGTCCTCAATATTGATTACTGGCATCTTTTGGCCTGCTGAAAATGTAGAAGGTTAGCACCTACGCATGAATTGCTGGAGTTATTTCAAGTCAGTCTTAGCCAACACTTCACTCAGCTCTTAACTTACAAAGTAAACTGTTCTTTGTTTTATTTTAAAGATTCCACGATAACCAATTTCTCATGAGCTCTCTCTCTTAACAATTCTGGCAGTGCACACTAGCCTTGGGATTTTAAAGCTTCTTCCTAATCTTCACTAATATGATTAAGTCAGGCATTTGACCCTAGACACCTGTCAGTAGGTTTGTCGGGAGGGGTGGGTTTAGTCAGCATATAATTTAAAATACTTAAAGCTGCTCCTCGCCCCTGGGCTTTCATACAGTGTAAAATTTGGGGTTTCCAATCCTTACCTTCAATTCCAAAACCCTTCAACCATACGTTTTATGTCATTTAACTTAGTTTGAGGTCATTTGGAGGACTGTCCACTAATTCCCTAAATCTCTAGAGTATTTAATCTGGTATTAAAAGGGAACCACATAAAAAGTATCACTATAAGTTCATTATAAATAATGGATTGAAATTTGTACCCATCAAATGGAAATATAGTAAACAAACAGACTTCTTAATCAGAAATAAATGAATGTATTACTTAGAAGAGTTTTTGCGACAACACCTGGAATTTGCCTGTAACTGTCACAATGAATCTAGTAACAACAATGAGCAAATTTAGCAGGTTAAAGGGAACATAGCAAGTGTGATCTACCAATAGACATCCTACTAGAAGAACAGACTCCTCTGCCCTCCTCACAATTCCTCTTCTCCCCAGTTAGACCAGTGGGTAATTGGGAAAAAGGCTCAGTAGCTGATGATATTCCTGTGAAATTACCTGGGAAAGATTTCAATGTAGCCAAGTGGCATTGTGCCTATAGTGTCTCCCTCTTCTCCCTAGTCCAATTTTTACAATGAAGTATGATTGTAAAAGTAAGCATATTCAGATCACACACTATTTCAGAGAACATAACATTGTACATCTACATGAAAATATTCTGCTAGTAATATATCAGCAATTAACTTATTTCCTTGTATTTAGATGGTGTTTTCATTTCCAAAACCTTTGAAGAAAGATTCTTTCCCTTTCCAGTCTTATAATACCCTGTTCTTCTCTGGATAGGTTGTACTTTAAGATATTTTTAAGGGACAAATGCCTACATAGGTCAACTATTTTCTAGAGGTAGAAAATAATACACTACAGGTATCTGAACCCAATGTTTCCTATGTTTTTATTTTTGCTATTCTGTTCTTTAAGAAACAGTATGACTATACAAAGGTTATTTCTTCCTGTATAATCCTGTTTTGTATTTGGGAGCCCAAATTTTAATCTCAATTTCCTTCCCACTCCTTTAGACTAAATATAAAAGTTCATATTTTTGATGATCATTTTTACCTTTTGACATTGCTCTTTGCACAACTTTTCTTCATTTTGGAAAACTTTTAATTCCTCTAGATAATGGTTCTTCACACTTCAGTGTGTGCAGGAATCACTTAAGGAAACTCATTAAAGCTATGAGTCCAACCTTAGACATTCTAATTTAGTAGATCTTGGGTAGGGTTTAGAATTTCATTTTCTGTACTCCAGGAAGCCCTCTCACATACTTACCAACAAAACAACCATTTACTGGTGCTTGCTAGCTGTATGATCCTGATCAAGTTACTTAACCTGTCTGTGCCTTAGTTTACAGGGAAATAGGGGCAATAATATTACCTACCTTGTAAATTTGCTGAGAGGATTAAATGGGGGTAACATAGGTAAGGACTTTGTAACAGCATGTAGTACAGAGCAAGCACTCGCACGTGTTAGCTGGTGTTATTCACTCTGTTGTACTTCTAGAATTTCAAACCGTACTTTCATATATGGCCCTTGTCATATAATATAGGTGATCTTATAGGTACTATTAAAGGAGATAGGTAATATTATTGATAAGCTTAAAGGACATCATGTCTACATAATTTGGCTCCTTTGATATCATGCATTGCAGATGCTACGGTTGCTCTGCTCAGCTTTCCTTTTTTTCCAGGGTAAGATACCTAGTCTGCAGCAGCTGCAGGTGTTGACTATCAAGGGTAAACTTTTTGCACATGTTGGCTCTTGGCTGATGGGCAACACTTCTCCTGGTGATGCCTGGGAGATTATGCTCTCCCGTCTGACCCCTAAGGTTGCCTTGGAGCAAAAGTCTGGCTGATGTGGGGTTCTATCAGCCTAACCCCCTTGCTTCTGGGCTGAAAAACTTTGTTGCAATTGTGAAACTTCCAGAGCTTTCTATGGGTTTAGAATGATGCTAGACTTCTGAAACCACTTTTTGCTAACTTTTCCTCTTGCCCTATCGTAATTTCTTAACTCTAAAATGCTGTGATTCACCATGCTCAATAATATTAAACATTAAAATCACTTTGTTTAAAGCAAATATATTGTTAGAATATTCTAGAATTCTTACCAGATTTGATGGCATGGGTCTCACATGAAAAATCAGAGTGGGGATCAAAATTTTTATTTATTTCAAGTACACAAAGAAGGACAGTGAATATCATCTGCATGGAGATTCCAAATGTTTAGTGTTCTATTGAAGTCAATGGTCCAAATAATTCAAATATAATATCATATACTTTACCCCCTATTCCATTTTGCAGATGCAGCAAAGGCATTCCAGTGAGTTTGAATGCCCAAAATTACACAATGAGAGGCAGTTGAGCTGGGGTTACAACACAGGTGTTTGTTTTCTGAGATGGGGTGTTTTTCATTCCAGCACATCTCTCTCAAACTAGTATAAAGCAGTGGATTTGTTTCTTCATACCCCAGAATGACATAGAAAGTCCAGAGTTGATGACAAATAGCATTAAGGCTGCCTCTCATATTCTAAGCTTTCAGGTTGGTCAACCTCTCCACAAAAAGTCCTAATAGACTAGATCAGATTATTGACCCTTTTGCCAACCATCCCCACCCTACCTTTAGTCAAAATTTAAGGGGAAGACTGAAGACCTATAGCCAAACAAGCTAAGATTGCTATTACAGCCAGCCCCAGGGGAAACCATACCCCAGGTAAAAAGATGTTTGCCCTTTCACTTCTTCATCCACCCTGCACTACCATCAGAGTATTGAAGGGCCAATAAAAGGTAAGACGGCAGGAGTGGGGGAGTTATTTCAGAGCTGTAGCCAATTCACAGATCCCTGGTTCTCAATGGGGGCAATACTGCCCCCTAGGGGTCCTTATGAAAATATATCAGCTTGTTTATAAAGGTATTCTGTCGTTTTTGTAGGTATGGATAAGGAATGTCAGATATCTTGCGTTTTCCGGGATCTTGCTGCATAAGATGAAATGTGACACATTCAGCATGACTGTCAAATATAATGTCAGACTTCCACATAGGCAAAAACCATACTTACAGTTCTTTGAATCTTGAAACTCTATTTTACATAGAAACAAAATATTTTTCATGGTTATTATACTTTTTACAATAATGCATATAATAAAAGGAAGACCATGCACCAATAATTTTTTTCTCTTTCAGAAAATCATATCACTCATTGTAGCCATGGGCTTGATATATATGTCAATCTATTCTCAGCTGCTATGTCCAGATGTTTTTTATACACAAAAATATCTATTTTATTATGTACAGTCATGATGAATATTTTCATATTGTATTTACTCTATATAATTTGCTGCATTTTTGTATTTTATAAATATAATTTAGGTACTGTGATGATTAATACTGTGTCAACTTGATTGAAGGATGCAAAGTATTGATCCTGGGTGTGTCTGTGAGGGTGTTGCCAAAGGAGATTCACATTTGAGTCAGTAGGCTGAAAAAGGCAAATCCACCTCTCCTCCTAAAAGGGATCACAACTCCTCACCAGCAAGGGAACAAAGTTGGAGGGAGAACGAGTGTGATGAAATGACAGAATCAGA